AATTTTGCATCAAAATTTAATGTATTGTGAATATAGTAAAAATTTAGTTTATTCAAATACCTTTAAATGATATAATTAAACAATATAACACATTGTGAAAAGTAAAAAAAAAATTTTGAACAAATTTATAAGAAATACAAGAGAATTTCAATGAATTAAGTCTTTGAATGGAAACGAAGTGATAATCATCTGGAAAATTTTTTAACGTATTTCTAACACCGTTTACTATCGAGTGCGATCGCTTGACCCGTTGGCCGCACACATTTATTAGCATATGTTAGCGCGAATAAAATCGGTACGACGTGGTAAACTGTTGTGCCTATTTCACGCGTGACTTCACGCCTACATGCATTCGTACGTAACGGACATCTTGCGCTTCTTGCAGTTTCTCGGATTGTGGTACATAGTACAGTACTATGCAAGCTCAGAGGAAGCCCTCGCATACAGATGCATGAGAGCAGAGCTCTCGGTTTCGCCTGAAAACGCTGAAGTTACCATGAATTTCACTTACAGCTTTACTGACGATCCTATTAACGAGCTGCTCGTTGGTAACATCACGTGGAAAATCCCTTCGCCGGACTTACCTGCTCATTGGATGCACGCTGAGTTACCATGTAAACACTTATCTCGCAACAATCTAATTTCTTTCAATTTTTTTATTGTAATGAAAACAGTTTCATGTTTCATTTTGCTCTTTTTTAATGATTTATTCTAATTTATTTTCAAATCTTTAATTCGTTGATTCTTTTCATTCAATTTTTTCTTTCATTAATTTTTTAAAAATTAATTTATCATAATGTTAAGCCGGATTCAGATCAAGCAAACGCCAATAAACAATTTACATTCGCGATATCGTTCGTTTTCGTTGAAACAAGTTGTTTATTTGTGCTTGCTTACGCTCGTTAGTCTGGAATCAGCTTCAGATGTAAACTTCTTTTTTTTTTTGCAAGATATACTCTCTGAAAAATATATTTTCTGAACGAATCATCATCAATTATAATAATTTAATTTGGTAGAAATAAATATTGATTTTTTGTAGAATTATTTTATGGCGAGTTCGATATTTTTCAGACGAAGGCGTATACAATACATACGTATTAGATTCGGATTATAAATCCTGGGCATTACTAATGCATTGTGCTGAAAAGAGTAAAAGTCCCAGATATTTATCTAGCTTCATCATGAGCCGTGAAGCGAGCCTCGGGGCAAATGTCATTTCTTATCTTCGAGAGAAACTGCCTAGGTATATTTCTCTTAATGTTATTCTGATTACAGTAAAAAAATAGTTTCTTTAGATCTTACTAAACATATACATATATCTTTCGAAAAATAATTTTTTTAAGATACAATAATTTTTAAAATACTTCAATATAAGATATGAATATAATTTGGATTGTTAATTTTAAGTCCTTTATTTTTGAGATACTTTAATAATGATGTTTGAAAAGAAAACGGTAATTTCTTGAATTAAATTTTTATGCATGCCAAAGACGCTTGTTTTATAATAAATTAATAAATAATTGAAAACTTGAATTAAAGCAAATATATTATATTGTCGTATATTTTTTGAGATCATTAAAAATAAAATTTTTAATACGTAGATATGATATTGACTTGGAGTACATGTTCCCTATGGACCAAAAGCAGTGCAATAAGACGGACAATTCGGAAGATATGCTTATACCGGCAGTGGCACCAGCTAAAAGAAGCCATATCACCAGAAGGCATCCGTTGAAACGAAAACATAGACGCCAATAAATTTCGCTCAAATCAAACGTCTCTTCGTTACTTTGGGCTAATTTTATTAATTCAATTAACAACGTGTTATAATATTCTTCGTCTCTTCCTCTTATTTATAATTACATAATTATAATGAACGTGTTATTGTTTTTCTTTAGACCCGTCGTCTCTCTCAATATCTTAGCACAATTCATTCAAATTAATTGAGACACATGTACCGCAGCACGTACGGTCATCATGATCACTATCATCATTAATCATCATCATCATCATCATCGTTATCATTAGCATAACAGTCGTCAGATTATCACTCAACGCACCTAGTACTTAATTACTAGATATGGCAGCTACAACTTATAAGAAATATTACAAAATCACTTGTGATTCATGCTTCTCGCGTTTTCGCAATGTTTTACGCATACGAACGCTATCACACCGACGGGCAACCTTTTTTCTTGTGCGAGCATTTTCGTTACTTGGCAAATTCATATCTGGCTTTGTAAAAATCGTTTCTGTCCGATGTTATAGTTACCGGTCCTCGCAAACGTGACATTGCGTGACGACATCGTGACCCTCCCCTTCGTTTATATGCGTTTCTAAAATATATAATAATTGAGCGCTTCTGCCACGACCGGTTCGTTCGTGTCATCCTGCCGTGGTCGCGCGGAATAGGAAGAACGCATCGGGGGAGCGAGACACAAGCCTATATAAATTCGCCTATATGTTTCGAGATCGTTGCGACGACCGAGAAAGAGAGAGAGAGAGAAAGAGAGAGAGAGAGAGAGAGAGAGAGAGAGAGAGAGAGAGAGAGAGAAAAACAGACTGATGAAGTCAAAGCTCCAACAGATCCGTGATAAACGCAACGTTGTCAACTTTAAACTATCATACCACGCCCGCATGTATACACGCATTCATTCCTTCGTTCTACGAGCATATACATATGCAAATCACCTATTAGTGTCCTAGTAATTTTTTTAATATTAATTAGTCATACGTTTAATTTTTTTTTAATCCTTTGTAAATTAATTACCTAGTTTTTAAATCTGTATATTGTAAACCGCACTCGTGCGCATGCGATTGTATGCGTGCGTACGTATGTGCGTTATGTATGTATATTGTGTGCGTGTGTAGACAAGTGGGCGGTGTGAGTTGGTGTATGTATGGGGACGCGTGTGTGGATGCACATGTGTATCTCTCTACTGAAGAGATGTGTGTCATTATTTCATATAGCTGGTAAACTATCTATTTATCTGAAATTTACGTTTTATAAATATCCTATAGTAGATTCGCGTTTTTGTCATTTCGTCATTCGATTATACGCTTTTGTACGAAGGTGTAAGTAATACGAACCGAGTGACATTATAGTTTTGACGTGTGCCCATATGTGTACGTATGTTTATGTACTTGCGTGCGTGCGTGTGCTTGCGTGCTTGCATGTGTGTGTATGTATATGTAAATGTATGTGTATGCTTGTACGAACTTAAATAATCTTATACAAGCGCTTCCGAATAAGCACTTGTATAATTCTCACTGCCGGATCGGTATCCGCCGTCCATGCATTCGTCCGGGATTTGTAGTACGGCTTCGTGTGTTTGTGTATATAGGAAATATAAGATCGTCAGGTGCATCGGTGAATATTTGATTTTGCGACCGAGGAGTCTCGTGAGCAACGACGAATGGCAATAGGATGGGCGAGTGCACGAGCGAGCGAGCGAACGAGCCGTTTCGCTCCGACGGCGGTCTCGATTGTCAAAAGTAGAAAGGTGAGAGAAGTTCGGCGGGCGATAGAGAGAGAAAGAGAGACAGAGGGAAAAAAAACAAACGACAATCAATTGCGAAAAATACAAAAGGCGAAAGAAGCGCTTGCGTATACGCATAGGTTTCGTCGCGGTAGTAGAGGTAACCGCGACGAGAGTTGAACACTCGTTAGATATTAGCAGAAATACTAGATGAAACCGGCGAAGTTCTCTACTGCTTAAAGTTACTGTTAAATGACGGACGGCCGGCAGCACACCAGTTCCTATTATTCTTCTATTGTTCTTCTTTTTCTCTTTTGACTAAACGATCAGAGAAACGCGAGTTTCGATTATTGCGACAGGACCATCTTTCGCTATATATACACATACATACATTACACACAAACACACACGCATACATATATATACATACATACATATATATATGTACATATATACATATATGTATATACACAAACACACACCACACACATACATTATATTCATGAGCACTGCCGTGCCGCACGAGAGATCTCTAGCTTCTTTTCGTTAAGTAATTACGATAAAGTATGATAGGAGGCAATTACAGTTTACGGAAAGTCGATAGATTCCGTAGATAAAGGGTACGAAGATGCAGCCGCTCGGTTGATTTCCGCGCGAAAGTATGAACGACTATTGTTTCTCGTTTTTGGTTTTCCACATTCTGCGCGACGTTCTTTGATCCTTGTTATCGCGTTGCCGTATCACTGCACATAGTTCGCGTTCGTAAACGTGATTGCCTTGAGCGTGGAATCACGAGAAATTCGTATGTGAATTCGTCGAAATCGTGCCAGGAATGTGTCAAAAGAAGCGACAAACTGCGCGGAATAAAAGAGAAAGACACGCATTCGTTCAGCAGTCTCGTTTCAAAAGAAGTTCCAGCTGATCGGTGTTGCTCCTTGTCTTATCTTTTAATCTTCAAAGGAGGAAGACGGAACAGAGGGAAAAGGAGATGAAATCAGGAAAGAGTTGGTGGTCCGCGAAAAAGCGTCCGTTTCTAGACGCGCGTAACGACATTATTGCCGTCACTAATCTTCGTCGTGTTTCGATGATGACGCGTTCCATTTCCGGATGATCCGACGCCTCGGTAGCGGACGCAACGGCGATACTCGTCGATGGATCAGGATGACTACGATACGTCGCTGGTCTCCTCTCGTGTCCCGCGACTGATAATAATAATTACGCAGCGATGGAAAGAATTTCATGAACACACGGCCATCGTATAGTCACGCACTTTGATCGTTTTCACCGTCGAGCCGATCGACGACGAGCATGTTTGCTGGTACGTTGAGTACGTCCTACGTATACGACGTAATTGTCTGCGGCGTATTCCTGTTGGACGCCTGTGACTGTTGACGACAAATCTTCGCGTCGAGAGGATCGACCGTGATACGATGATCGTCACGGCACCAGCGATCACTGTTTCATCCTCGATGAGCCGTTGCAATCCGTGGTGACGATGTGACGAATCGGTGAAGACCGCTGTCAGTAGACCCAAGAAACGGGCACCCATTGTGGTGTCGTGTGAACGCGTTCAATCGCAGCCTCCAATTGGGCGATCGTCTCGTCGAGATCGTTGTTCACGATGGTCAAATCGAAGAAATGCCCATATGCCTGCTTCAGCATGTCCGACTCCTTCGCCAAACGTTCTAAACTGCCATCGAACTGAAAGCAGAAGAAACGTTTATATAAAAATCGTACTTGTATGCCTAATAGAAAATCGATTCAAATGTTTAGAATAGAATTTTGCGATGTGATATTCTACGAAAAGATTTTATCCATCTTTTCAGGTTTCTTTTTTAGTGACTGTCTTGTATATCTTCACGCTGAACTTATAAGTTTAAATAAATTCCACATATTTTTTTTATGAAAATGAATGCATAAATTTGATTACGCATTTAATCCAACGTAGAATAGGGCATATGATAGTCTTTAATGGATAGTCTTTAATAGGGCATATGTGTATTTAATGGATTATATTTATGTTATCATCAAAATCCTTTAATGATTAGCTCTCAAGTGTATCGACGGATTACTATCGGTCGATTAGTCATTTAGAACAAGTGGAGCGGTAATCGTTTGCCCGATTAATCCGGCAAATTCATGATTTATTTGAAGATCATTGAACGGTTTGCTTAATTGCTTAATTGGCATGCCAAGTATTCCTACTCGCATCACACATCAAGAATCAAGATACGTTCAGCTTAAATAGAATATTTGCTGATATCGGTGATTTGTGTATTACTTTTCGATAAGCTCTTTAGCTTATAACTTGCCGTTGTGTTATGTGAATTATTCTAGACCCTGTTAAACATTAATCTCAGTTTACATGGTAAACGTTTTAAGGCTAGTACGTTTATGTTTTAGTTAGAAAACGTGTATCGTGGAAAGGTAAATTAGCATATCCTTTCTAGACATGCCGTTTTTGATTAATTATACATCGTTGTTTAATGCGAAAAGTAAATAATGTTTGCAATTTAAAATTATTTCGTTTTACGTAAAAGTAAATGATTAGCAAGTAAATGATCGCAACAAAATTTTAAAAATATATAAATTAAGCAAAAAACAATAAAATATGTAATTTTTTTAGAACATTATTAATTATAACATAATTAATATACTTCATTTTCATAATTATTGAAGAGTTATCATTCAGAATAGAAAATTTTATTCAATTTTTTATATATTACTTTATGTATAATAACTTTATGTTTTTGTATAAATTTATGTATATTTTTTATTATATATGTTTCTCCATGTATCAAGAACTTTTATATTATAATAAAATGCATTCGCTAAATCGTTATGCGAATTACAGTTTCCGAAAAATATCCAAAATAGCAGTTTAGTTTTTTTTTAAATATATTTTCATACTTACATCCGTAACATTTGCAAATGCTGGTGCAGCGATGAAAACGACGTAAGGTGCAAATTCAGCAGTCCGTAAAACTTTCAGCGCCTGCGGTTCAACATCCAATATGGCCATTCTGCCTTCTTCGTGAATTTTGCGGATAGTTTCGAGCTTAGTTCCGTACATAGCATCTTCATGCGTACCTATTCATAAAATAAATAGTTTAAATTTTAATATTTAATATATACTGTTTCTAACGTTTTAAAATTGTGAAACTTATTATCTATACTTCTAAATTACTAATTCTAACAATTATCAATACTCTTTCATTAATTGTCAATTTCTAAAATTAAGAAATTATTAATAAATTAATTATTTATTAATCACTTTTAATAAATTAAATAAAAATTTGCATAGACATAATTTACCGTATTCGAGGTATTCATTAGCAGCTATATCTGCCATCATTTCATCATGCGATACGAAATAGTAATTACGACCATTTTCTTCGTCACTTCGTGGAGGCCTCGTTGTATCTATAAAAAGAACACATTTAATAAGTCTTCCAATAAATATACAATTCATATAATCATTATAAAATATATCGATTTTAATTTGACACATTTTTATAAAAAATAATATTTAATTAATTCAGAACTATATTAAAAAAATTTAAAACACTTACGTGGAATAGGATAGGCGTATTTATCAGGATGTTTGGAAATAATCGTATTTTTTATGTGTCGTCGACCGACGCCATGTGCTCCCAATAATACTAAAGTTTTCCGTTGGAAGGCAGGATCTATGTACAAAGAAAAATAATATATAATATTCAAAATTAATAATTATTTATTTCCTATAAATGTTATAAAACATATGCAATTAAATTATAGCTTTGATTGTATTTAATATAAATTTCGAGACATTTTAATAATAGAATCATCATTGATAACACAGTTCGATTAAAAATCACTTTTTCGCTGAAGTGCCATAGTACATACTTCGAAGATTTTTCTCGTGCTGAACACGGTGCTGTTGACAGAATTTGCAAGGCATGTCAGGATTTTGAATAAATTGGGGGAAAATGGGCATTTTTATCTCAATTTATTCAAAATCCTGACATGTCACACAAATTTTGTCAAGAGCATCAGTGTTGAGCGCAAAAAATCTTCGGAATATGTACTACGACATTTTAGAAAGAATTTGATGTTGAACCGTATAATGTGTAGAAAAATAAGAATTACATATTTTTATATTATTTTTATGTATTATTTGTAGATTTTTTAGAACTGCAAATAAAACTCACAAGGAAGCTTCACGACCTCTTCGTAGGTCACCAGGTCCAGCTGGTCGAAAACAGCGTTGTGCTTTGCAAGATATTTATCCTTGTATTGCTTCTTTTTCCGACCGAATATTGAGCAATTTACTGCAAGCAGAAAAGATTGTTAATATATATAAACGCCGCAAAATCGGAGATGAAGCTATTTCTTTTTGAAAACCCGATGTAAACTTGCAAATTACTGTGCAAGTGTCATGTTACGGAATCCATCATCCGTGCTAACTAACAAGTTACGTGCCTTTATAATGTCGATGAACGACCGCTAAATTGATCTTAAAGTACGATCACAATGCCGTGGCTGTCGCAACGAAATTGGCTCGCAAAATTCAATTGTGTATACGAATGTGTAAGTGTATTAGAAATTATGCCAGCCAATGATGGTTAACTCTTTACGATGCAAGTTGTAAACATCTATTAATGAAGTTCCCTGGTTTATATCACTAAAATATATATAATGAGGCACGACAGATATTTTCCGTAATTGCGCAAAAAGAGTCGTTCACGTAGCTAAAATATCCCCTGATATTACTTCTCCTAAACATGTATCACCCAACATAGTGTGTTATCCTATTGGAAACATAGTACGCATCGACGTGTGCACTTAATATTAGCAACCCTCCGGAGCATCTTGAAAATTAATGCTAACACGAAGTGATAAACTACTCTGCGAATATTGGTTCCTGTATCAAGCAAATCTTATCTATTGATTATAAAAAGAATTTCATTCAATCAGCCAGTTTGAAGGAAGCCATGCCCAAAGGCACTTGGGGAAGTCCTATTGAGAGGGGTGTTCCAGCAGGTCACAAGATGATAACGTAAAGTCGATGATTAATTGATGCGTGAGTTATTAAATAAGTGACATAATTCGGGGAATCATGGTGAATTGCCTTGTGAATATTATTTTCGCGATCACAGAACTACTGTATAGGGAGATTCGTGTGGGACTACAATATATCGAAGCTGCGGATGATAGCTCGCGTGATTGTGCAAACCATGATATCTTGCCAAAATATCTAGACAATTGAAGATGGATGAAAATACGTATATGAAAAGAAAAGATTTATATTTCAGAATCAGGAATGAAGATGAAAATATCGTTTCGGAGATTTTTGGCAAGATATTCCCAAAGTATCATTACTCGCTATATAACATTTAGAACAATCAATTAATTATCTATTTATTATAAGCCTCGATTGTAATCGTGCTGCCGCGTACGCTTGCAAGTAAAATCGTGCGAAATAAGCATAAGTGTGCGTTGAATGTTTTGCAGCGAACGCATGCATTAAAGCACGCATGTGTAAAAGCATCTATTAATTTATAATGCCGAATATACAATACCCATATTAATAAATTATAATCAGTGTGATGCTTTTTCGAAATATTTCGCAACGTTACAAAATTTTTTATTTAGAATTTGGAAAATGAAAGCTTTCAAAACTTTTTTGTTATTGATGCTTAATTCCATATCGTTCATATTAACTATGAAGAATTCACATAATGACATTCATTTTCATGCATTGCGTGAGATACTTTTACAATTGTGTAATTTAATAATACAGTTTTATGAAGATCTATATCAAAATCAATATCTTTTAAATCACAAATACGTAAAGTTTATTTTATAATAAAATTATTATAGATACTTTTTATAACATATATAGTACTTTTTGCCTAGTATATGTATTGTATGAATATTTATTCAATAATTATCTAATAAGCGTAATACATTTATTACATACACCAGCAATAACACAGCTTTCGGAACTTCTTGTTTAAGTAATTTTTTTAATATCAAATCATTTATTGCTAATTGCAAGTTGAAAACTTAAATGTATTACACAATTTTTTGCAAATACTTATTATTTATACAAGTTTATACAAGTATTTTATCAAATGATGATACGGAAGTATCGCCCGTACATTTACAAAATTATGAGAATAATAAGTTTCATATATAAAATGAACTTCAAAGTAAAAGTTTCGTGCGTCCGTTTCCATAAACCGCCGAAAGACGATCGTCTCGTTTTTTATCTTCTCTGTACTAATGCGTGTGTTAGAAGCATGGATCCAGTCTGTACTTCATGCGTCTAAAAGTACGTCCTACGTGACTCTACACGTGTCTACCTGAAGGCAGAGACGTACCTGTCGAACCGTCGCAGCCTTCGGTGTGAGAAGAACATCCACCTTCTCCTTCAGCATCTAGCCCCGCATAACACATATAAACAACAGATATATCACTGCAGCTAATTATTCTTGTATGCGCTAGCTCTCCATTTGCCTATTCCTAATTCTTCCTTCATGCCACCCACTCACGCCAGCAGGCGCATACGTAGAGATATATGGCGACCGAAACTTTCTTGCTACATATTTTTAAAGCATTTAAATCTTGATTTGCATGCGACATCATAGTCGCAATTCGTAATTAGATTTCAAATCTGGCTTTTAACGTTACATCTTAAAATCGTATAATTATTCCTTCTATCGTATCTCATTTGCTGCTTCATCGTGATCTGTGTTTTTTAAATTAACTGCTCTGACTATTAAACGTGTATCATGAAAATATGGAGTAAACAACTCTTGTATGAGTAATAAACTATCTTGCGTATAATTCGATACGTCTTTTCTAACATTTTGTTGCTTTTGTTAACTTATAATACTATAGCAGCATCTTTTCTTCAGAAGTAAAAGATTTATGGTTAACACAAAAGCAATGGTATTTTAAAATTTCATGGATCGGTAACTATCCAAAGTAACGATTACGTTTGTGCTTTATTTCTAGCGTCTGCAGATGATAGATGCTTTTAGCCAAACGGAATGGCTTCAGAAACGTTCCCGGCTTCGAGATTCGAAATCAATACAGGTTTATACGCTACGCAGGATTTGAATCATAAAATCTCTTCGAATTATATAACGTTTAAAAAACTCAGCCTCTCTAAGAGTAATTAATTATACAATTTAATAAGATACATAAACATCCAGTATCTAAATACATAAATATATTTATCTAATTAAAATTTAAACATGAAAACTGCATGTATTCGATTAGCCATAATCATATTCAACATTAAATATATGGGATGTGGATTAAAAAAATTTAAATATTAAATTTGTCAGTCTATTTCTATTATTATATATTGTTATAGACATGCAGAATGTATCAGATCACCCATATTACCCTTTTTCTCGGAAATATGCATAGTTGAGAAAAAATGTTCATTCCTAAAGCTTATCTAAATTATTTAACAATATAGATTTTAATTTTCTGGAAACTACCGGAAGTATGGTAAACCTGGGTCAAGTCTAAAATATTAAATAGGGAGATAGGTCATGTAGAGTATAGGATAAATTTTAATTTAAGTCTCCGATAACTTTTGATGTCTGAATAAATGGATGACTCATAATCTATAACGCGTTCTTATCTTTCTCGTAAATAATAAATAATATAAAAAAAATTTAAGCAAATAAAGTAAATTTAAAGCAAGTTATTTATTTTTAAGACACATCAAACTATTTCGACTTATGTTTTTAAATTAAAAGTTTCAAACTTGACTCAGGTTTATTCTTTTTCGAGACAACCGAAACGCTGTTAGATATAGTTTAGAAAACGGTAAACTAATAAGAAACAATGAAAATATTTGATAGCGAAAATTTTTCTTCGATTTTCGGTTACTATTCATTTTCGATAAAAAAGAGATGGTATATAGAATGATCTGATATAGATTCTGTATAATATTATGGAGACGTTAATATTCACACAAAATACATTAATATCATAATTAAATATTTATTATTTATTATTAATTGTATGCACCATTAATTGTTGTTAATAATTGATATGTACTATTAATTATTAATTTCGTTTACATATAGATACTGTTATACTTTGAAATATTTATTACAGTTTACAAAGAATAATTAATATGCGTGATTTTTACATTTTTTTTAAATCTAAGGAGTTCCAAATTTCTTTAGAATATTTCCTACATCAAAAAATACATATATCATGTATGAAGTAATATCATAAATATCAAACGCCATTTTGTTTCTGTTCGAGATATTTTGGGGATCAACGTCATCAAACGATAATTACCCAACTAATTCATCCTGAATGAAAAATAGTACACTATTAATACGCATCTCATTTTACAGTATAATTGACTGATAACAACGATATCACATGCTCCATTAAAAACCTGTACACATCGAACACACAGACGACATTGTGTTTCATCAGCACATTCGTATTTCTGGCAGCAATGATTTGGTGAAAATCAGTGGGAATTGAGTGGAATCATCAGATGTGATTGGATGATAATGGATCGATCGAGCGGCAGTGAAAGAATGTCACGTAATAACGATTTTCTCAATCGGCGAAATTCTGACTCTCCGTTCTGTACTCAAAGATTCTGCGATCTGCTGGAACCAGTGATTATCGTACTCATTCTACTCGAGTTTTTAACTAAAATTATCCTAAAAGTTTAACGTCATATTTAACGCCAGGGAAAGAAAATTATTCTTTCAAAGAACACTTAAATAGAGGATCAGAGAGAGCACATTGAAAATATTTTACACCAAAATCATCAAGAAATTTTATCCTCAATCTCAATTGTTCGATGAAATTAAGAGGATATACACTCTAGAACAATATTTTTTTCGTAATTGCTATACCGAATATATTTTCCTTTTCTTTTTAAAGAACTTCATCCATTTTACAAGATAACAATCTAACAGATAAAACGTGATGAAAAATGATCAATCCCCTTAAAGCGAAGAAAAAGAACTTCGACCGTACATCGTTTTTACATATCAGATATCGAGAACGGTACTCGTGTTCTACGGACGAGCGGTTTTACACAAAAACGACCAATATGGATAGTAAAGTTATGTTACCTTGTTCTTGCTTGTTTTTCTCCATAGACATGCAAGCAATGCGCCATTCCTGAAGTTCGGGCGATGGGATAAGACCCGCGGAACCAGCCGCGTTATCCTTCCTCGCTTGCCACCAATGATGATCATCCTTGCTGATGATCTGCAGAATGTCACCGGTTCTAAAAGCGATTCCAGCCTGTGCGCAGGGTATCAATTCATCCTCCAGTGGATCGTAGTCAAATTGCGCTCGAACGAAAATCTGTTGGTGTATCAAAGATCGCGTTAACATTTCTTAGAGATGGTTAAACGTCGTTAATTTTATTAATCACTAATAAATTTGACGTCAAGGATTTCACTTTGCGTCGATATATTTAAGGAGAGAAATTATATATGTATATTAAAAACTACTATAAAGTGAAAAATATATATGTGAGATAATTAAAAAGATAATGTGCATCTTACAGTGAAATCATTAACATCTATTGGTTTAGTAAGGAAAACTTTAATTAACAACAATAGGTCCTCGACCATGAGACGTGACTAAGATATCGTTCTACGGCTATATCGATCGCTGATGGACCTACACAGCGCTGCGCTAGACATAGCGAACGAATCTAATGAAATGTTGCGAGGAAAGCGAAAGATGCGACGTAGTAAGCACTGGCAATAGCTCTTGCAAAGAGTGACAGTACAATGTAGAGAATGTACAAAGTATCAATGGCAAATGGAGCGCTCGCAAGTTCGTCTGAATTTGTAGTATTGATTTGCAGTACGTTACATGGCGCATAATAGATCAGTAAAGTACAAATGTACACGTTGTCTCAAGATAACCAGCGATCGACTCGTAGCTCGATTTCGCCACATCGCTTAAAAGTTAAAAAGGAGAGGGTACGTAAATGCGAATTTCCAGACGAAATATAAAACTCGCCGGTCTCTGAACGTCGCTGTATGACGTTTTACAGTCGGTACGCAGTTAGGTCATCGACTTTAGTTTAGGGTGCCTCCACGGTTTTTACAGTCAATCTCGGTACACTCATCGGCATTGGGGACGGGAATTCGTCAACTGGAGGGACATGGGAAATGTTGTGCGAGCTTTTTTTTCGTAATGCCACCAGTGACACGATTCGGTCATCTAGCGATGCGCAATACGTAGTATGTGTAAAGGCATACATAGATATGTATAACGTATGAGTGATTCCGTTTCACAAGAAGCTCAAGCACTAATTGCTGCACATCGCTCAAGGACAGACGCACACGTATACGCACGCACGCACGCATACCGAAGATATGCACGATGCAGATATGCGCGCGGCCACTACATGAATGTGTGAGTAAAGAACGACGCATGAGAGAAGGGTATAATGTACAGTAAGTATAATGAACAATATGGTTGTAGACAGTGACAAAAGTGGCTTCCGGTTAACGCACGTGTCATTCGTAAAACAGAGCTGTGAGGATTTTTAATAATGTGTAAAGAGAGGAAGTACAGGATGAAAGTAAGTGGGGGAAGGGTGAAGGATGGTTTGCCATTTTGATTCTGTACGAATATTACATGTATTCGTAATTGTATCGATTTTAATTACAAATTAAAGGAATTTTCTGGATATACCAAAGTCATGAATATCGACAATTCTGAACTAATGAGTGCGTAATAATTAAAGTCCGTGCGTCACACGGACAAAAATTTACGACTACAGAGTACCGGCTAAATAGATATAGTCTGCGACTTTATTTAGCAGCCAATTTGTAATATCATTTTATTATCATTCCTTTGCGTTTAATAATAGCTTGGCAGTTAATACACGCGTGTCTTCACTTGTAATTTACTAATAGGATCGATTTAATATTCGTACAGGTTTAACGTCTGTATGATAATTTTTTGCATATCGATGAAACTATATGGTTATTTAGGGTCACTTCTGATACGATGAATTTCAACAAGTATACGCCATTAGTATTTTATTACCGATAATTGATAGTAAAAAAATAAATATGATGATATGCTATATACAAAAAGAATTAAGAGTTTCATGCGTATTGATAAAAATTAAGTGTCTTGGAAGTTAATCAAATTATAATATAAAACAAGTCAAAAACTTACGTTTATTCCTAAATCTCGGATCGTATGACGATTGCAAGATTTTAGCAATTTTGAAAATTTTGTATGTGGTAATAGAATGTATAGGAATCGATATTTTTTTTCACGGGACTGGCGATTAATCGTAGCATTGTCCTGCCAACGTGTAGCCCATTTAACTGTGGATACATTTTCATCTATACGTTTCCGGTAGTAGTATGTCTCTATTGGCATCATGTCAGCAAATGTTCCCTTTGAAAATATCGAAACTTGTTCGAATACGAAAAATAGCCACACGTTTTCAAACAGGACGTTTCCATGAATTACGTCAAGTGCTTTGAAAAGCGAAAGAACTTCTTTTAGTAAGAAATACATGAGCGCTCGGACGAAAGGGAAGACACTATTAAATTTATCTGTTGTCAATACAAAATAGTCCCTTGGGTTAAAATAGCTATCACAATTATTTGCATTCGCAAAGTTTAATTCAACAAATTTTATTTTATATTACAATTTCTCGTAGACCATTAATGATTCAAAATAAAAATGGCTTGAATAAAATTAAAGTATTTTTCAGCTTCGCTTTTAATATATACAGTCGAAAGATATAATGATAATTCTTATATATAGTACAATGACTGTATGCGCTTTTTACAGGCGTTTTTTTTTACTTCTAAAGCATTCCTCTGAGCGTCCATGCGAATAAGAATTTTTTTTTTATATGAAGACATGTATAAGCGAACATATCGATACGTATTACTCGGACTTGAGAACTCCTGTCATGAAGTAGAAGCATTGCGAAAAAAAGGGAAAAACGCGCGGGATTAAAAGGGGAAAAATTGATACACAGGAAAATCCGAGTAAAGGTCCTACTTTTCAGCGATGGCGTGTATAGATAATATAGGAACAGAGACAGTACGAGGCATGTATATATAATGTATGTGTAAATATGAATATAATATATAAGTATATGTACGCATAGCCTTCTAACTACAGCAGTCCAATCACACCAGATCAAGTGGCGGTACTTACTAACACTGGCAGAGGCTTAATCCTGAACAACTAGAGTGTTGAGGAAACAGAAAAAAAGGAAGATCAATTAATTAATCATGTTTCAAAGTCGCACCAAAGCGTAATACGGATTAATCGAGACCCTCCCCCACGCGTACGTCGCGTGAGGGGAGAAGAAAAGTGAATAAGAATGACACAATCAATGATAAACAGCACCTACGGTTGAGTCGCACGCGTCAACGCTTCCGAGATGCACGGTGCGCATTGCTGTGTGGCACATGCAGGCTTTACTAGATCCCCTCGTATTATTCAACAGATGTCTTTCGTACTCTCGACACCTACGAGCGTTGGGCTCCCACGCGCAATCTACGCGTACGATATCCAAATTGGTGGTGTGAAACCGCTGTAGTTTCGAAAAAATGTCAATTCCCCGGATACAGAAAAAAAAAATCTTTCACGAATTCATTTTATTTTCGTAATAAACATGGAAATTGTATTTTCGTGTGTCTGCAGCATCGGCTTGCCGGAAATATATCTACTTTTAATCAAAGTACCACCTATAACAGTATTCTGTACTGAATCAGCGATATAATTAAATAACTTGAGACTTTTCATTCTTAAAGAATACAATATATTAACTGGCAGTAGACAAGTTTTGTCGTTTCATTGAAGTATAGAGAAGTGTTTAGAATATTGATTATATACATTGTGTATTTCATTGTGTTTCGCACTATGCAAGTACTGCTGATAAAGTATAGAGAATACCGCTATTGATACGCAATCTAATTAAGCAAATAATAGTAACGATCGTTAATTATTAATCACTTATTTAGATTTTATATCAAGTGATATTACACGCATAGATTATCGTTACAGTGTGTGCCCAACACCTGCTGCGAGTCGAATGTACGAAGTAATTTCGAGCTCGCAGTTCTGCGGCACGTGATGAGCGTGGCGCGGAAATGCAAGTTTCGAGCGAGAACTCTCGACGCTTCCTGTCGGGAGTTGGGAGGAATCAAAGCGGACTGGTACAATTAGCAACATTCTAATGCTGAGTGGTACGCCTCGCGTTTTACGTGATAGATAAGTTTCCTCGCACGTTTCGTTGGAAATAGAACACTTTCAAGCGGGAGCAAGCCGGTAGAAGTTCTTGTGGTTCATCTCCGAGTGTAAAATCTGCGATTAGATTACCATTTGAGTTAAGCAAAAATATGCGTTTGTGCGATAAGCTGTGGTTCTGATCTTTTTAAATTTTGTATCAAACACTCAAATGGAGCTCATTTTTGACGGAATTCTTCTTACGAGAGACACGTTACAAAGTCTCAAGTGTTTGTTGCGTTCGCAATGATTAAATAGTTACGCTGCGATTTCGTTAATATGTATGTATATAATCGCTATTATATCAAGTGAATAATGGGATAATGATTAATTCATAATACAAGCGAATGAATGTGAAATAATGGATGTCATTCTAGAGCGAACAAAAAAGTAAAATCATGTAAAAAAATAACAGTAATGTAACACACAAATATAATAAAAAAATTCTGCGAATTGGCTTGACAATATATTGCTGGCTGATCAATATTTCAACCTTATCTTCGTATAGATTCAAATTTACACTGGAATGCCCGGAGAGTTTGTCGACTAATGATTTTAACTATTGGTAAACAATGTTAGTTAAATATGGCGATGTCCTTCGTCAGCAAATTACATACGAGATCGTAAAATAATGCAGGGACAAATTAAACGGTGAAGTTAATTAACTCAACAAATTAGAATTTACTACATCATGAGCCAAACATAAATTTTTGACAAATCGATATTGTGCCCCATTTCCTTCGTCTCCATATGCTGCAACACGGAAATTTCTATCCTATCTGATTACAAATTCCTATCTCGCTTCGATTCGGACGAGAGGAATAATGACGCGAGTCCCTTTTATGAAAACCGATTTCGCAGAGCTCGGCAGACGCGCCTCTCCGAACTTCAGGCCGCGCTGTTCGAATAAAGTCATCGCGCGATTGTGCCCATCCCGTTTCTATAGTAACGTAGAGGACGGTGCATGGACATGGTGGTACGGTATGTGGGTTTCCGACGTGCATTGGAAGCTGCGCTCTACTTCAAAGAAGAAATGAACGGGCGAACGATGGAAAGGTTTGACGATGGTATGCCGCTGATGGGATTTTCAGACGACACTGGGAAAGACAATTCTACTCAGTGATATAGCAGGTACTGCGCTATCGACAACTCGTCTGGTGGACTGACTGCTGCTGATGCTGCTGACTCCTCTTGTCGATTTCCATCGAGGCCGAACTATCTGCTTCCGAGCGCCAGACCAAAAGAATCAGGCTTCGGGCTTGCTCTCGGAAGGGGGAAACAAAAAAGAGCTGGATCGCAGTGCAGAATAAACTCGATTGAAAATTTTGCAACGGTCTATTGCGGCAGATTACCCGATTCAATTTCCAACGAACGTACTACCATCGGTGCTTTCTATTGTTACTAACGATTTACAACGCGATAAAAAAAACCAAACCTTTTGAAGGTTTGGTTTTTTTCGATATCTCGTGATAATGTAATATGATATTGTTTTTAGATTTTAACGTAATTTTGAAAAATTTGAATAAGTTAATTAACATCTGACGGATAACTCTAAGCTCATACGCGTTAAATATTTCTTAAGTTGAATCAATATAATTTAGCACTGCACCGCGATACATCTCTTGAAGAATTGGTTGTGCTTTTGTGAAATGATTTTTCACTCGTTACTGTAAGGATCAAAATTCTACATATATGAATTATGATCGTAGATAATGTCAATCGGATTTGACAGGACGAAGAACACAGGACACATAAAGATCACCTATTTCATCCACGCATACTGCAATTAACATGTGTGTGACGTGGTACAATGTGAGTGAGGGTAGTGAACATGAAGAGCAACGCTGTGATGTAGGGAGTGAAATATGATTACGGTTACCGAAGATTTTTCTATCGTTTTCGCGGATTTACCCGAGAAACCAGCATCGCTTCAGGTTTATTCGGAGCGTCGCCTGACGACAAGAAATTCTTATAGACGCCTCTCTCGCACGCGATCGTAGAAACGTACATCGAGTCATATATTCGTTTCCCATGATATCTTCCGCGAAGGGACGTCATAAATCGAAAGTACAAACCGTCGGCAAGCAGAAGATACGCGCGTGCTGAGAATGAAATCCGAGAACGTCGCGAGATCGAAGGATCAATTTCGAAATAGGATTTCGGTGCATCCGTGTTTAATTCGCACTTTGTACGATAAAATAATCCTAAGGAAAATGTATTGAAAAATATCGATATTCTATTAAAAAGCGCCGAAAAATATAATTATGATATATTTAATCTATATATGTTTTTAAATTTCTGATACAGTAATAAGTAATTAGAAAAAACAATAAGATACTTTTCTGGCATTATTAAAAAACATTTGCATATCGATCGTGGCTTAATTGAATCTATTTATCTAATACACAAGCTCGTTAATAACAATTGATAGAAATTCTCTTTTTTTGAAATATCCCATAACAGCTAATTTTTCACGCGTTCGAATGAAAAGGATTGAGCTAATTTTCTCGAGACGTTTAATGAGATCTATGGGAGAACTCGATGGCATCGCTCAAGATGCCTTCGTGCAGGGCAAATAAAGTGCCAGGCGTAATCGTTGTAGAGTGCAAGAGCGACAAAACGGGCATGTAACGGGAGAGTGACAATACGGGGAGAGGGTCATGTCAAGCACGTCGGTGTGCGTATGTATGTGTGTACATCGGAGACAGAGAGTTCTTGTATGTAACGTTCGTCGATTCTATTTCTACGGCGGACACGGACAAAAGATCGCGTTTACAGGTGACGTGCGACGACTCGTGGTGTGTTCCAGCGGTTCATGCTTTATTATATCTTCGTACAATGCTCTGTGGGGGGTAACAACGCCGCCGCCGTTGCGCTCGCCGATGCTGTTGCTGCTCTCGCCTAAAGGTGCGATTGGAGGATGGGGATCCGGGAGTGATGGCTTCGGAAATGCAACGTGGTCGGGGCGGGGGGGAAGAGGGGGGTGTGTGCTTATCGAGGGTGTCTCGTTTCCCATGTAACGCACGAGATACCCTGTTCTCGTTCAACAGCGCTCGTCGTCGCGAAACGCCTTGGGTTACATTGTCTTATTCGTATCATACCACGTAAACGGGTTGCCGCACACTCCGACAGCGCGATGTGTTTGCGCAGTGATTATTAGCCGTAAATGCTCCCTTTTAACGTGACAGATGTAGCACAGACGCACGAGACAGAGAACAGTTAACTCTTGGTAAGTTCATTTTTTTTGTAGAAGGCGAAACAGTTGTCGATAGACATTAGAATTTACCCGCCACCCGATTTATTGAACATTTGCAGAGTTATCAAAAATAGGGACTTTTCTCCGCAGGCGAAATTTTACTGCGTTATCTTAATCGCATCTGTTGTATACGTTCTCGCTATACCTACCGTCATTCCTCGAGCTCGTAATATCTTTTTAATGTAGGTGACAGTTAACGGTTCATCTGTCCCGTGTCCTTCTACTTTGCACTCCCGAAAGTTTAACGAAATTGTATATTTCGGAAAATATGATCTATACTATGCAATCTCATATACAGATATTTGTCACACCAACAATTTGAAGTATACATCGATAAGATCTGCGTATGTCTTGAAACATCCATAAACTCCCAACACATTTTACAACGCTTTACAAAATCTAAATCCAACCAAGCCGTCTGCACACACGTATATATGTGTAGTATAGAGTGTGAAAGGAAGTAGGCAATATATCACGTTCTTAACATATCTCCACTTCCTTTTGCATTTCTACGTGATGCATAACGAGAAGAACGAGAGGCCGGGCGCTACGTTAAACACATGTATGAACATAAGCAGATATACAAATACAGAGTATTTACAAATGAATGCTACATCACACCAAGATATCGAAATTATAATTCAAACTGAACCGCACGCGATACGTTTAAACAATATCGGCTGTAACTGTATTTTAC